GCCAAACTAGCCCAGGATACAGTGAGATGATCCACTGGTTTTACTGGTAGAGCCACTTTAAACTCTTCTCTAATACATTCATTTGCTGTTTGTCTGTCCCTAAATAGCTGTTTGAGACTCTACACAACATTACTGAAAGATTGAGAGGTGTAGAACTGGGGACACCATAAACCTGTTTTGTTGGTAAAACCAGGGTATTTTGTAATAGCACTCATTTTATCTTGAAGAGGATTGGGCACTGGAGAGACCCTGCCTTCCTTACCTTTAGCTAAGTATCGTCTGTCACATAACTGATTGTCACATGCATACTATTACATTGTTTCTTCTCATGTTGAACTGATACCTTTCCAAGATTATCCATCTGAACTTTAAACCATAATTAAGTTTTTGGCTAGGACAAAAATATTGCCATATAATTAATTTTTCTTTTGCTGTACATTGATGCATTTCAACTTGCTGGTCTGCCTTTTTGTTTTGAACCATTAAACATCAGCATTCATCCAGACAGTGCCTGTGCAGAGTGGGAAATATTGACTTAGCTGTACTTGAAAATAACTCTGTTAAATCTTACGGATTTTTTAAATGTTACGGAAAAAATAGTGGTTTTCCAATGGTGACTATGTAAAACTACTCCTGGAGAAACCATCAAAACTTCAACCCTATATAGGACAGATCTCTAAGGGGCTTCATTCTAAAATCAATTTTGCAGTTCTGCTTGCAACTGGGGGACACAGGAAAACACTGTGATTCTGAAGGGTGGATGGTTTTTTTAGAAAAGTTTAAAATGTTGGCTAAATAGCACTGAAAAAAAATTTATTTCCAGCTCCTGTATTTTGTTCAGTTGTAGTATTTGCATGGCACGAACTGTGTGAGTATTGTTACTGAACACTTTGAGGTACAAATTAATTCTGGCTTTAGAAATGTGTCAGTCAAGAAGAGTCCCTGCAGCAATATCCATCAGTGATGACAAGTATTTCTCACTTAGAAATACTTATCAGTGTAGAATATCAATACTTCTCATATTTTCAATTAAACTGCACAAGCTTCTGTCATGTTGCACATATAAAGAACATGGTCTGAAACAGAAATGAGAAAATGGAGATTAAAACTGACCGATGATCCTAAGGAGAACTCATTACTGGAACTGAAACAATAGTTTAAGGAAAACTCTTCTTTAAATACTTAACCAGGGAAACATTTTCCCTGGGGTTTGAAAATCCTTCTACTACATGCTTGGGAAAATTACATGGAAATGCTTTCCTTGCTGGGAACTCCATTCATATTCATACAGCAAGTCTAAGGGGAAATTTAGAGAAAAGTTCTTCTCAGAAACAGTGAACTAGGAAAGTGATTATTCTGTTGGTAGGAAGGAGATGCAGTGAGAGAATGGATGCAGTGGGACTTTTGCTGCCTTGTCAAACCAGAATGTCTTCTGCAAACAAAGGAGATCCTTCAATCAACTGGCTTTACCAAAAAACTTGGAACACTTCACTTTTTTTTTTATTAGTTGTCATTCTTCGACATGATGAATACTTACAGCAGTATGTTAAAAAAGATACAGTTAAGTCTCTTGGCATCACTGCATAGCAGTCACAGCATTTTCACACAATCTAGTGCTTCCTTTCAGAATGATGCATATGGCATATATACGCACATATGGGGGCTGATTCTTGGTCCCAGTGAAGATGGGGGGACCAGTGTTTGGCCCATAGAGTTGTATAAGATATGTGACTATGTATATATAAAATGCTTTACAATAAACATGACATATACAATCTTGAATTCAAAGATAAGCAGAATATATTTTACATCGAAGTCAAGCTTACGCTCTTGCACTTAAAAGTTTATGTACCTAAAATATTGGATGGATTATAGAAACAAAGAGCAACAGTTTGCACCAAAGTAATCAGAATACATATTCATGGCATGAAGCTTGCCTTGTGTTTTTGTTTTGTGTTTTGGGGTGGCTTTCTTTTCTTGGATTTGCAAGGCTTTAATTCAAATTTAATTATTCATTTTTGTAGGCCATGGGTGACGGACGTGGTGACATGAGGAGGGGAATGGGCATACTGTGGACAGGATTTCTGAGCTTGAGAGGGTTTCAGGCTGTCAGGGGCTCATCTATTCCCAGGGGAAAGTTCCTGGGAACAGTTTCTCTCCAGAACTGTGTTACTGTAAAGAGATAATATTTCTCAAAACAATACTGAACAGATGTCCTGGGTGTTTTCTGTGGTCTCACCAATGGGACCAAAAAGGGGTGCTGTTCCTTCCACCAGTCAGGGTAACCTGGTTGGAAAAACTATGTAAGGGCTGAAAGAACCCCAAATAAAAGCTTTTCAGCCACAAGGCTTTTCAGCCACAGGAAAATGGGTTGCGTGTGGTGTTCAAACTTGGACTCTTGCCCAATACCTCCTGTCCTCTAGTGACAGGCATACGTTATGGACAACTCAGTTGAGTGACTTAAAATATAAGGCAATAAATTATGGCTGGTACCCTGGCTGATACCTGAAAATAAAATTGTGACTACTTGAGTTTCTCCTTTCTGAGGAGAATTCATTTGGAAGGGCTAAGTGTCCATTCTGTGTCTAATTTGATGGAAACTTTAACAGGAATTTAAACCCTCGATTGCAAAAGCTGGTGAGATAACTATGCAGTGTAACAACAGCCTTATCTCATTTACAGCTTTCTCATTAATCCCTGGGGAGGCTTTGGTTTCCTTCATGAAAACCAAGTTTATACAAAAAGAATTGATCTGTGATGTAGATTAGGTTAGACACAACTGCAGATCATGTGTTTTTTTGGTTTTTGGGGCTTTTTTTTTCCTCCATAGATTCTATTTAATCTCAGCTACTCCTGTCTTTGATCCTTGTATTCCAAAGATACGTGTTGTCAATAGTCCTTTTATTCCCCATCTGACTGGTGGCTGGACCACTGACACTTAAAAACACAAAGGTAGGTAGAATCTTTGCTTAATGACAATGCATACATATGCATTATTGTAACCAGCCTAAGATTTTCGCTTGTTATCACAAGGCACAGAATTTCCTCTTGGATGGTATGAAATCTTCATTTTTAGAGGAGCTAGATTTTAATTGCATTTGTAGGCCATAAAAACATTTTAACATCCTGCTTTTAACAGCTTTTTTTCCCCTCTTCCTATGTATGAAAACTTTAACGCAGTTTGAAAACTTCAAAATCTCTCAGCTGCACTGGCCCAGTGGGAAGGGAAAATAATTTGCAAAGGCCTTCTGTAAAGTGGCTGATAGGGCTGACACCACCAAAATGTGTGTTACCTGCATAGCATTTCTATTCTGTGCACCAGCAGCCTGTTGGCACACTGGGGAGAAGCCCGAGGGCAGAAATGCTGTCCAAACCAGAGAATACCTAATGTATCACACCTGCATGTGCTGAGCACTGGCGCTGTTGGATTGGCTGGTACCAGTTATGGTTTCTACGGGAAATCAGATGGTTCCATTTTGCATTACAGGCCCCAGGGAATCTGGCTGCCAGGCATCTGCTGCCAGATCCTACCTTTTCCAAGCACTTCTGTATGGAGCACCTGAGGCAAACTGGCCCAGGCCCAAACCTGTGTAATGGGTTTGGCTCACAAGCAGAGAAGCGTTGCTGGGGCCACCCTGAACCTCTTTCAAGCACTGTTTCATTAGATAAGGTGGTTGAAATCTAGCTGGTATGTTCAGTGCACAAAAATCCCCCACAGCCTGATAATTTTCAGATTTCAGCCTGATGATTTTCAGAAGAGCTTTTTAAAGTTGGAAAGTCTTAACTGGTGGTAAGGGCAAACTTGTAATGGAACCTGTAAGTTCCACTTGTAGAAAAGAGCTTGGGTTTAATGTGGCTGTAACAAAATTTGATTTGTACCTAAGCTTTCCTGTTGGACCTATTTTCTGGAAGTTCTTCAGAAACAGCTCGACACTGTTTCTGTCAAGAGCTTTTTAACCTGCTAGACACTGGGTTTAACTAAATTTCAGAACCTTTTAAAAAAATTCTTTGAAGTAGACGGAAAAGGGCTTCCATTTCTTAGTAAAAAGACAAAACACAGGAAATTACATCCTTTTGTATGGACTTAAGTGCTTCTAAGCGGTGCATCACATTGCTCACGTAACATCCTAATAATTGTCCTACATCTGTCAGGAAGCAAAGGTACACCTAAAAAGCTGCAAAGTGGTGGTGCTTCCACCCCCACCACCTCCCTATGGTTAAGAAGACATTTACATGCTGTAGTTAGAAACAATTTGATTCTACTACAGCTCTCTTGAGTGCCCTTTGCTTGATGTTGTTCCTCTATTTTATGAATCTCATTTAGATAAGTGGGAGAAAGAAGCAGTTTTTCTATTGGTTGTACCTTACATAACAGTGGAGGGGTGGAAAACCATTGCTGGAGTGCTTTTGTTTGCTCATTGTGCTTTGCCCCTTTTTACTTTGCTGGGTTTCAGCCTCTTTTCTCTGAAGATACATACAAAGAATTAGTGGAGTAAATCATCCTTCACTAATACTTATGCTTTTTATTTTCCTCTAAACATATCAGTCACCTTATGAGCAGGAACTTTCTCTCATCAAGTCAGTATCTCCTGTAATTTAGAAAAACATATTATATTTTATTATATTTTCCCTTGCACTTCTGTGAGTCAGCATCTTTTTCGTGTTTCTCAAACACCAACTTAAAAAGCTCTTTCTTTGTTGGCCTCTTCAAGGTCTTCACATCCCAACCTGACTATCCAAATGTGATTACCTGGCTGTACCTGCTCATTCTTTTGGACAGCAACTGTACAGATCTGATGTATGGGGAGTTTACAACAATGCTGTACTTCACCAGGATGGTGTTATTCTTCCTGGGGGCAGAGGAGCGGGGGACAATCCCTTTGGTGCAACAGAGTAGTGTCTGAGAATACAATCTCACTGAAATGGTGGAAGCTTAAGTAAAGTTTAATAAAGACTTTCGGAACTGAGGTTGTTTATGGCATAGTTAAGGCCAAGTTATCTTTCACAAACATGAGATCATAGAAAATTCCACAGCCACTATAATAGCTAAGAGGATTTTTTTTTTTTTAATAGTCTGACCACAACACATTTTTTTCCTTCATTGACTGAGACTAATCTAAAAAGTCAGTTGAAGTATTCTTTTAATTAAAAGAAAAATACAAATGCATTTTGATGCTGACTATCTAAGGAGGGAATGTGGGGAAAAAATCAGCTACACTGCAACATCTCTCAAGAAAACAACTGAATTCCAGAAATAATGTCATGCTTTGTAGATCACTAAGCTATTCAGTAAAAATTCACACTCTTGAATAAATGGTAATCAGGCTGAACTGTCAAACCATGTGGTGTTGCTGTGGTGCCTGGGTAGTTTTTTTTTAACTTAAAACTTCAGGCTCTGTGAAACATTTGCCTAGACCAAATGTGCAAGGTGCCATGGATTAACAACACGGACCCATATGGAATGTGTTTGAAGTTTTCAAGAAGTTATCCTGCCAGACTTCATTCCTTAATGACCTCTGATACACCTTGGATAGTGGAAAGGCAGTTCAGAATCATATCTTGTAATCGTATGATTTTGGCAGCTATCAGAAGATGAAGGATGCTAAAAGTTAAGGCTTTTATCCACAAACAATGGTGTATATTAATAAACTCTATACCATATTTACAAATGCTTTCTCTTGTATTAAAACTAACAGTATTCTGTTCACAGTGCCAATGTTTTTACAGGTAGCAATCATCCCACAGTACTCCAGTATTTTGGCATGGGAATCAGTAGCGCTTTCTATTTACAGAAAATGTACACATATGAATATAAACAGGTAACTTGAAACAGTACTCAAAAGATAGATCTGTTCGTGTTTCAAAGGTTTAGACTGTACTACACCTTCCCTTTTGGCTGTGAGGGAATGCTGTTCCTTGCAATGAGAAGATGCCCATCTTTTATCCAAAGTGGCATAAAAATGATTACCAAAACGAGCCTTGTTACACTGGAGGTGTGTATATGGAGAGTAACCTCAGTCCAAGGTTTATAGATCTGTTGTTTAGTGCACAGAATACAAAAGTTAAAAAGGTTTTTAACTACTAAAACAACCCGACTCTCTGCCCTCTGCGAGCACCATCCTGCTCAGTCCATGACCTCTGGATGATGGAGATGCTGGTGGTTTCATGTGCAGCCCAGCTGCCAGCCTAGAAAGGGTGTGGCACTCTGGGCCTATATACATATGTCACAATATGACTTACGGTAAATGAAAAGATCACCAAGAGTGCCTCTCTGTGCCCCCTATTCTCAGCAATCCTCCCTGCTTCATGGCAGTCAGAACTGGCCTGGCTTCCCTGCTGCTGACAGGGACTCCGCACCGGGGCAGTCTGGGGTCAGGAGTGACAAATGGCATCAGGCATGCGCAGAATGGAGAGAGGGGAGAGGAACGTGAAGATCAGAAAGAATCCCAGCAGAACCATGGGTGTGTTCATGAGGACCCTTAGAGCTTTGCCATTTCTTGCCTTTGCACGGTGTTGACAACAGGCTCCTGCTCCCCAGGACCTTGTTTGCTGCTGTGACCAAGACGGAGATAGCAGTGCTAGAAGGAGAAGTGCAAAGCTGACACTAAGGAGTCTCTTCTTCATTTAAAGTCTGTTCCTGGCTGCCAGTCACTTGGCCTGAGTGGTCGTTGCTCCTACTACTGCTGTGTTGCTTGTGGAGCAAACCTCTCCACTTGGCCTTGTTCCTCCTGAGATGGTTTAGCATATTTTCAGAGAGGGGTGTGTTGCCTGTAAACTGGGCCCACCTCTCAAAGAGCGGCTCAACGATGTATGTCATGAACCCTGGAGAAACACACAAGGACAGCTGGTGAGCAACAAGTTAATTCCAGAAGTGCACTGCCCCACCAAGTACCTCAAAAGCACAAAGCAAGGTAAGTGGCTAAAGCCCTGATGAGAAATAACAGCAGACATCAATTCATTTTGAAATGCACAGCTTCTGACCAGCATACGTGACAAGATATAGCTTTACTTGCCTGTGTCACAGTAAACTCTGTGACAGTTAGTAACCCTCTGAGGAAATTTCAGACAAGAAAGCAACACTGGCTGCAATTTTTCCCCATGGGAATTTTTCCCCTATGCAAAGACTGCTTTGTCTTTCTGTTGAACATTTGGCTTAGATAGGTTTCTTTTTGAACATTTTAATTTAGAACATATTTTTTAACTCTAATGGTATCTGCAGCTCTTATTGTTAAAATAACTGTATTGGAGTGGGGCATGTGGTGGATAGAAGTTTCTTAGAGCTTCTGCCATAGTGAGATAAACACGAAGAGAATGAAACTAATACTTACCAATCTGGATGCTTGGTACTGTATCCTTTTGCTGATTACAAAGGGGACTTACTTCCAGTTCAAATTTTTGTTCCAGATCACCTGCAAAAATAAAAAAAAAAAAAAAAAAAATCTTTTCTGCCACTTTTATCTCTTCTCCATACCTACGCCACACTTTTACTATGTCTGCAGCTGTGTGAGGAGTTGGAATCTTCTATCAATGAGGACCATGGTAAATGTGTAAATACCTTCATTCTCTGGACTTTTACTTTTTAGGTATCAGAGAAACCAATTATCCATACAAAGAAAAATCTAAGAAAAGAAGACTTTTAGACGAACATTAAATTTGAGCATGTAAGTGTTCTGAGGACCTGAATTTTTAAAACAGACTCTCTCATGTGAAAGATTTTTAAGACATTCTGGTTTCTTTACTCATTGTTCAAATCCCTTCCTAGCAGAAAACTGCGGTGTATCAATTTTAGAAGAAACGCATCTCCAGTAGTACTGTGCTGGAAATTGCTAGTGTGTTCTTGTGGAAGTGGCTCGTAAAGGGAAGAGTGCTGGAAGCTGGCAGCCCACAGCTATGGCTGCACTAACAAACCAATAAAGGCCAAAGCGTGGACCCCAGAAATGTTTCAAGTGTTAAGAGCTATGGAGTTCAAGTTATAAATGTGGAAAAAGGATGAAATTAGAAGTCTGTGCAGTAGCTGGGTATCAAGCTATGCCTTCGCTGCTGCACTGAGCATATTTATTTCCTGGGTTGTCCAGGCAGTCCCCAGAGAGGCACCTGCACAGAGTGACTCGAGACAGTGAAGTAGTTGGCTGAACTCCTGGCCACCTTCAGAGCAGGGTATTTGACTAATTGGACCAGGAGGTCTCCAGTTCCAAATCCAGGCCTGTCCTGAAAAATGCTGCAGACAGCTCCTGCTGTGACCAGCCCTGGGGACTGTTTCAAATTGTTGAAAGAAAAACCTTGCTGGGGAATCTGCTCACCCCAGATGCCACCTCAGATTGCTCCTGATGCAGAATTGACCAGGACTGACATTGAGAAGATGCTTATAAACAGTCAGCAGAAATTATTCCTGCAGAAATGGTCACACAGGACAGGCTTCCATACACAGTGATGGCAAGAGATGTTTTCTATGGAGTTGAAGGTAATCAATAGCAATGACCATGCTGGATTTAAGCATTCAGCAAAAAAACATCTCAGAGGGTGTAATTTGCTCACTTCCGTACAAAACAATCACTTTTTCTGCTGGAGAGACTGCATCCCCCTGTCCCTGCAATAACTTCATGCAAAGATTGCTCTGAGTTAAGTTTTGGGTGTAGTGATTTTCTTAAAACAAGTGTTTTCTGAGTGCAACAAGTTCATCCTTTGTGATTGTTAGCCTTCCATGCCAGTGTACAATCCTGGATACTGCATGAGATACAGGATCTTTCATGTCTACAGCATGGAAAGGAAGTGAAAGTTAACTGTGTGCAAGCTAAGATGTGCCACTTCCCCTCAGACAATAATATTTTGTCCATGTGATTTATTAATAAGGATGTAGTGAGGGCTGGTTAGGAAAAGCTTTCCTGTAAGAAAGACAGACCTGTTAGTTTAGACAAAACACTGTATTCAACCCATAAAGAAACATTTTGCTCTAAATCTGCTGTTTTTGTTTAAAAGCTCTTTTCTCCCCACTAACAGTTTTTACTACTGTGCTACTGTGCCACCCAGGTTTTACAGCCCCTTATAAAACACTGTGTGCATTTCTAAGCCTTGCCTTTCTTCCCTCTGCAGCATGCAATCACTTCTCATATGTGAGCAGAGTATTTTCAGTTCTAATTGGGTGCTTAGAAAGTATCAGGAAAACATTTGTAGCTTCATGAACAATCAAAAGGAACAATTTAGCAAAAGTGAGACACAATAACAGTCTCTCATGTTTCCAAATGTGCAATTTGTCTTCTCATCTACCACTCCAAAAATTTGTGACTAAAAGAAAGTTTCTAACTCCGGTGATATCCTCTCTGTAGGTGTTCTGGGTAGAAAACGGTTGACCTGTCTGGCTCAAAGTATATCTACATCTTCTTGTCTTTCAGAAATCACTGAATTGACAAAAATAAGATTTGTTTTTGCATGGTAAGAACTTAAAATGACAGTCAATATTTTTGTTTCAAGTTACTATGAAAAGAACTGCGTGAATTTGTTCCTGAGAACTTTCATGCTAGGAAAAACCGTCCAAGCAATTTTAAAACCTTAACAGAGAAACTTATCATTAATGCTGCTTCAACATTAGCCATTTTCTTGAAAGCTTTTTCTTACTCCTTGCAGTTTCATATATTTAAATCAAGTTACTTACCCTGTGTTTCTAGCTGTGCTGACTTTTAAAAGATCTGAAAACAAGTTGAAGTATTTTTCTAGGAAAGGCCTACGCTGCTGTAGGTGTCAGATGCTCCCTGAAATGTAGCTGGATTGTATATTTTATTTACTAATGTGTAGTGTAGATGCACCAGAACACTAGAAGATCAGGATCTGAGTCTCTATTAAAATGACCTCAGAACTGTTTATTAAAAAAAAAAGTTAAAACCTTCTATCTGTTCCAGAAGGAAGATTAAACAAAGCACTAATTGTGGTATTATCAGTCTCATCTATAATTAAAAATCAAAACGAGAAACCTTATGATATCCAGATGTTAAACTTAGTACTATGTCGTGTATTTTGAAAATACCTTCAAGCCCCATCATTATGTGTAAAGGGGTAGAGAGGTCTACAGAAACATTTTAAAGTTACAATGGTATCTAAATGCATACTATTTAACACTGGAAGTACTGTACCACTGAACATCATTATACAGCCACTAGTGATAGAGCAGTTTCTGTATAACTGTCCCATAAAAAATGCTCCTTTTCTTCCTGTGATGGTTCTTACTGGTCTCATGTACTCAGGTATCCCCTGTCAGAGGTCTGTTTTAGATGTTAGACTAACAAATCTTGAGGGCAGTGGACAAAGCTTACATTTGTAAGAGTTGTCTTTCTCAGCATAGTCCCCCAATACACTAAAGGTGAGGAGCTGCACCTCATGAGCTGCATACTGATTATGCCTTCACTACACACTTAACTAACTAAACCTGCATTGGGCAAGTTGCTTATGTTGCTTCAAAGGCATCATAGTCAAAGACATCTCACCAGCTTAAACTGACAGTGGCTGAAAATTAACTTGCTGACCTGTTTGCCCTTGTTACAGACTAACTGTACCAGGCACCAGGTCAGATGTGGCTTAATTTTGTAGTGCAGAATATTAAATGAACTAAGAACTTCATTGTGTGCTCTTCCACTTGCCTTCAACTCTCAGGATGCTCTGAACAAAAAATTTAGCAGTGATTAAACTCTGCTGCATTGTAGCACAGCATGACCTTGCCTATGCAGATAGAGCCAAATGGTCTAATTACTGTGTTTCAAAGAACCCCCTGCTTGACTGTGCTCTCTGCAGGGGTCTGAAAACATTTGCAATAGGTTCTAGCTGAGGTTTGGCTTGCCTGCTTTGGCCCTTTCCAACAGCATGCTGGGAAGCGTGTTTGAACCCTTTCTCTGCATCTGCAGGCAGGAGAACGTGTCATACTTGGGAAACAGTGAGGGTAAGGCTCTCATCAGAGTTGTAGTGGGAGCATGAAAAGCGAGTCAAAACACAGTGCTAGGATTTTGGGGCAGTGTGGCACCGGCACCATTCCAGCTCAGAAATGGTCATGGTGATTGGAGGGTCTCAGAGAAGAAGCCAGCCATAGGCTTTTCAGCTGAATTCAAGTGCTGAGGCACAACAAAACCCTCCCTTCTCCTGCTTGATGCTGGTAGAGGAGCAGAGAAACACTTGTTGCTCTTCTACCCCTTCCTTCCCACTTTTCCAGTGAGGCAGAGCATCTCTGAACAGCTCATTCTCACGGGATGTTTCAGTGCTGCCTCTGACTTGTCACACAGAAACCATGGAAAGCTGAGGTGAAAGGGGACTGCTGTGAGTTGAAGGGGCTGACCTTGCCGGTAAAACTCTTCGCAGACCCGTTCACTCCACTGTTTACTCAGATCCCAGACCCGGCAAGGGTTGCAAATGTCAGCACACTTGAGTGCAATCTGAAAGCAAGAAGGAAAGTAGCAGTGAGAAAAGAAGTCACTGTTTAGCAGTGCTTTCAGCAGTAAATCTGCAGTCATGAAACTCCCAGGCCCCACCAGCGATGCTGGGAAGGGTTAAGGTTACCTTTCAGAGACTCAGCCTCACCCAAATGTGCCCTTTGAGGAAAGAGCATTTATTTAAGCTGCAAACAAAACTTTCATTCAGCCCTCCGCCTTACCGTAGTGAGAACAAGAGTAGGGCCACATTCCAAAGCTGCAAAGTGTTTTGGATATTCCTTGCAAGGAATAAGCCAACAAAAGCCTCAGGCTGGCTCCTGCTGACTGCTTGGCTCAGCATCCATGGCTGATGACAAGGAAGGGAAGAGCCAAGCTGGTGTACTTGGGCACGATTTCTCTGCGGTCTCAGTGAGTGACCTTGCATCTCACTTCACTTACACTTCATCTTAATGTCTGCATATTTTTGTTTACATAGCTAAGCACAGGGCTCTCCACACTGCCCCTGGCCTGGTTTCACTTAGTTAACTCGTACTTTTAAGTGCTTTTTAGGAGAATGAGCACAGGGGAAAAGGTTTTTAAAACAGTTACTACCTCAGAAAAGTAAACCATGTAATACTCTGCCTGTCTTACTGCCTTGGAACAAAATATCATGTGCCTTGTTTCTTCACAGACAGAACACAGTCATTCAGCCTGACTGTCTTCAGAAGTCAGAAGTCATTCTGGCACCCGGGAAGAAAACATAAATATTTCCTGTAAGGGTTCAGACCTGTGAAGCAGCAGAGGGAAATCTCCAAGTCATTCTTCTCTTTGGATTAAGCTGATTAGCCTTAATGTTATTGTCTACTTGAAAGGACCTTTCAAACATTCTTTAGCTTACTCCAATCAATCAAGATTTCTTGATTTTTTCTTTTCTTCTTCCATAGCTAATCCACCAGATAAGTAAATCTTACTGTGTCTTTTCCCTTGTTCCTAAGTTGCTAGTGCATAAGAAACCTTTTCTGCCATACCTGAGAGCTGGAGTTCCTCTGCTTTTGACATTTGCACAACTGTCTTGCCTTATCACTCCAGAAATATGATCAACCTTTCACTCTGCCCTGCACAGTCTGTGCAGGAATCTGATAGAAGACTGGTTTTGAGGCAGGACAGGTGAGAAGCTACTACATTTCCCATGCTGCTGGAGTGGGAAGAATTAACAGATCAGCACTTCCTTGCAGCTGTCACTTTTTCCGTGACTTTGATGGAAGGAAAATATGTGTTTGTTTTATAAATGAAAAAGATTACTTCAACTTCTTTATGTATTTAGGAATTAAATTAATGTAATTTCTCCAAAGAAGCAAGTATATGTAGCTACATTAATCACAATAATGCTTTAATAGGTAGAGGTTTATTCTGAAGAGTCTGCTAATGACTGCTGCTTAGCTGGAAGAACCAGTGTGAACCTATCTGATTTTTGAATAAAGCATGGGTTTTTCATTAGCTGGGCAGATGCACTAGAGAAGCATCTGCTGCCATGGCAACAGCTGTCTCTGCAGAGGCAGTTTCTGAGCATCCATCACAGGAACAGGACTTGGAGACCTGATGTCAGGCTGTCCTGGAAAAAAACACCAATGAGTGGGCTCTCCTACACTGTGCTAGAAACTAACACCAGTGGAGGGACATTTGCCAGAAGAGAGAGTGAGACTACAATTGAAGCATTACCCGGCAAGAGAAGCAGTGTTCTGGAAAAAAAAAATAATTACTAACTTATCTTCATTCCTTAGCATTTGAGACTCTCCTGTATCTGTTGCATTTACAGCTTTTTAACTCGAGGAAATTACATAAGGAAGCACCTTATGCTTGCCTGATGTGCCAGAAGGTGGCAGAAGGGAAGTGTTTATAGTAATAGGTAAGAAGAGGCTGATGTCCAGACATGCTATAATATACTCCTCTAAACATATACTAGGAAATACTGTGACCTGAAAAATTAATAAAAACAATTAAAAAAAAATTTGAAGTTACCTGAAGCATAAAATGTCTGTCTTGTGCATCCTCCAGCCTCAAATCCTGATTGTCAAGGTGAGATTTCAGACGGATCAAAAACTCATTTTGCCTGTTGATGTCTGTTGCCAAGATCAGGGAGCCCAACTGCTGCTCAATGTCCTGTCTGCAATAAAGGTAAATAACCCCCTTTAATCATGGAACCATTCAACATTAAGAGCTCAAAACCTGCTCTCGATCACTGGAGCAGGCATAAAGCTCCCTCTTTCTTTATGGACCCAGTCTGATCTGTTTACTCAGTCTCTGCTGGGGTTTGCAGGGTACAAGTGTTCTACCTGCCAAAATGGGTTCAAAAAGAATAGATAATGTAGAAGAAAAATGCTTGTTGGCACAGGTTGTTCTGAAAGTTTCTGAAAAGCACTAGGAAAGTACAAAAAAGTCCACCCTGAAACAACAGCACGTTTCATCAAGAAAAACATTCACGTCTTACTTCAGCTGCTCAGAGCTGAGCGGTGAATCCTGCAACTTTGAAGTTGCATTCAAAGTTGTGAAGGTCTAGACTGAAGTTCTTTAAAATTGTTGGTCTGATGCAAAGAATTTCTGGAGGGATATGGAGCTTACTGCTTGCAGATAACTTGTTTATATTCTTGGGAGAGTCACCTGAGATTTAAAATTTAATACTGCAGTCTGTTCACTTGTCTCAATCTCAAAACTCACCCATCCTTGGTGGGACTAACACAAGTAAAAAGCTAGCAGCAACTTGGCCAATGTGGCTGCTCTTTTTTTTTGCTTTATCCATAAAGACTGAACCGGATTCCCTCAGTGAGGTGTGGAAGTCCAGAGCAGTCTTGATGCTCCTCGACCAACTCCTTCAATTTCCTGTTTTTAATCACTAGATCTTTCCATATTCGGTTGGTGCTATGTAAAATGAAAAATGTCAACAACCCACTGAACAAGTTCACCCTTGCTGGGACTCTCCAAGTTCCTGGTGCTGAGAGTGGCCATTCCTGTGCTGCAGAAGTGGATACGTCTTAAAAAACACTTCTGCCGTACAACTTTGTCTCGTGATTTGGTAGTGGCACCAACTTCAGCCTGTTCTGAAGCCTGGGTCTCTTTGCCAATGTGCTTTTAAGAAGGGAGAAGGCCACAACCTGGTGTCAGTGCTCGTGGTGGACACTTACGTGACCTCCTTGGGCAGGTGGGCGAGCAGCCGTGACTCTCGAAGCATGCCCACGGTGGAGCGCCAGTGGTGGTTCTCCAGCACGGAAACGTTCTGGGGAGCAGTAACACCGATAAATACAAGGATGAGGATGATAACAGCTACACATATGGATTTGCTGTACCACATGATACCCAGAGCTGGTTGGACATGCTGTAACATGAGCCTGAAATGTGTGCTTTCCAGCCACAGCTGGATTAGAGTAATTGGTCTAGATTTCTACAGTTAAAGACCTTGTTTCTTAGCTGGGTCAGCTGGGTTTCTTAGCTAAGGTCAGCCCTTAGAGGCCTGTTGTTCTGCAGTTTTTGAGTCCTGCTGTGAACAGAGGAGCTAATCTTATCTGAGTGGGAGGTAGCTTGCATTCTAACACATTTATTAACAAATTAATTAAAACAGGAGTGCAAAATCATGTTTTTACCTCCTATTGATTCCAGGTTGACTTTTCAGCCTGTACAGTTTGAATGCAGAGTGGACAAAAAAAAGAAAACTAAACTGCCAAATTTCCCTTTGAGTCAGGGAACTGGAAGCTGCCTGCAGCTGTTCAGTAAAAGCAAGAGGAATAGTGGTACTGCTGAGCATTTGCAGGCTTCAGCAATTTCGCCTGCAACAAGTTTTGACTCCCCTTTGCTTCCTTGCTTTCAACTAAGTGGAACCAAAGTTAAGTCAGAAAAAAACTGCTAGGGAGCTGAAACCCAGCTTTCTAGACTGTCAGTAAATTACAACAAATTTGGTATCTTATGACTTGAATTTGGTATCTGATGACTTGAAATTACTATCGTAATATGCAATGCATTTTCCCATCATCACTTGTTTAGTTCACGGAGTACTTTCTACCACCAAATGCCTCATAAATGTCTCTTGTTCAAAAACCTCTATCATCTGTTCCCTGTTTTGGGCAGGTCACAGCTTTTGCAGTAGATGAGCACGATATAAGAAAAACAAAATGAAACAAAACAAAACTTTTTGAGCAGACAGCAGAACAAGGACTCCACCCTGTCACTGCCAGCTGGGAAAGTGGAGTCAGAATCCCTCTCTCCAGGCACTATCGATCTCTAGCTCCCTCACACACAGTCCCACAGCTCTGAGGTGTTGCTGCCATAGTACTGCCTTTCCCATGGGACATGATGCACAGCTTCAACTTTTCCAAGAGGGATTGAGCAGTATTTTCTCCCTATGTCTTCCCCATCTTCCCTTTAGTGTTGAAATGCTAAACATTGCCAGTAACCAAGATCCAATTTGCATTTTGATCATCTTGCCTACTGCAAAGGTGAGAGTACAAACTGGATTGACTTCCTATCACAGCACTTTCTGCAGTGGTTTTTGTTGCTTCTGAATTCACACAGTGTAGCTTTGGTATTTCTCTGGGTTTGTCTGCTTGTTTCCCTTACAGAAATCACATATTCTAGGGGAAAAATCAAAGTAATACCAACTCCAAAACTTTCAAATCATGTAAAAACCAATTCCTTTTCTTAGGAAGAGCTGATGGACTCAGATCTCAACATCAGTTATGCAATACAGAAATTACTTTTGACAGCAATTCTGTTCACTTGCCAACTCAAATATCTGTTTTCTCCTTTTGCCTAAATACATCAGGATGGACTTTTGCAACTCTACACTCTGACCAAGAAAAGTAAGAGAATGTAATAGAACATAATAACAATTTTTTTTGTTTGTTTGGTTTTGGTTTTTTTTTCACCTACCCAGTCGCAGAGCTGAATACTAGTCCCAGGAGTCACCCCAAAGCCACAGGCTGCCATCTTCCTACTAAACTGGACAAACTCTAATTGACTATCACCTTTGGCTTTTGGGAAGGCTTGCACTTGTTTAAGACAGTGCCTGTATGCACTCTATTTCCTGTGACCCTGGTCTGAGTGCATCCTTGAAACACTGCAACCAGGGAGATGCCCCTTGGAGCACCCCGAGTCCCCACATCCCATCCAGCGTGGCAGCTTTACTTGCTGTGAGGAGCTGCTTCAGCAGCACCTGCCTCAAACAGGGAATTACACTCCATGGATGCAGCTGTTCCTTGGCCATACTGAAGGCCAGCCAGAACAGGGTTGAGGCACCTGAGACCTTTCCTGCATCCAATTAGTAGTTACTCATAGGAAAAACCAAACTCAGGCAGTCATCTCAGAGTATTTCTGCTTCTCTAAGTTTCTGCTCTTTGCCTGCTGCTATAGGGGGAAACCTTAAACTGACACTGCTGCACTGTTTAGTTTCCCACACTGAAACTACAGGGAGGAGGGAAAAGGAAAGGTCACGTTAACAAGCCAACAACCGAGCATGAAGTCATATGATTCTCCTCTTAAATGTAAGGAGCCGGAATCCCTGAAGTGGCTGCCAGCAATTAGTAGAGTCAGCTATTCCACCCAGGAACACACAACTGCTTTATTAAGACTAATTGCCGTGAGCTGTCTGATCGCCCAGGCTGGTGGGAGACAACCCATGCAGGCAAAGTCTCCGTGCTGGCTTGCAGACCGGGGCTCTCAGCTCTGCTTCTTCATGGGGTTTTAGTTTTTTTAAAAAACTGAGTAGTGCAGCTTTGCTTTAAAGGCTGTACTATAGGAAGCTTCTGTCACATTTACAGCCCAAGGCCAGTAGATTGCTACAACAGGGACTTCAGGACTATGACTGTTTATTTTACTTAAGCTACCACAATTATTTCCAATCCGTTACCTGGTCTGAGCTATTTGAACCAGTGCATTTGACGTACACATCTGAAAAAGAACAGCAATTTGAGGAAAGGGAGACTTGCTACTAACTAGGTGCAGAGCAAACTTCAATTTTAATTCAAAGCAGATCAGCATTTATTTAAATTTCTTCAGTCTATTCTTACTCATTGAGCAGCTGGTTTAACTACATAATGTTAAATAGTCAAAAATGACACTTATAATTAGAAACATTGCTTTAAAGGAAGACTGCAAAGGAGAACTGTTTTTACTGCTGCCCAAAATGTACTTTCCTATTTCCAGCTTACCTACATCTATATTAAAGTTGTAAAGTGTCCCTTCATAGTTTTCTGAAACCTGTTTTGTACTACAGATGTTGTATGTGATCTATCCACACTTCTAATAATTTAAAAGCCAGAAAATGCAAGTTAGAAGCAAAGTCTGCATCACATTACAAAGGATGCTGTTGTGCTCCTCACAGGAAAACTAAGTGACCTCCAGACCACTAGAGTCACCTTCTATGCTCTCAACTGTCCTTATAATGCTGGAGATTTCAATGAGCTGCTCTGTTTTTGTAGAAAATTATGGTCTGTGCAATCACGTGCAATGGACTCTTGTGGAAATTACACTATCGATTAAAAACAAAGTATCTTGAATCATAAAATATGGTTTGAAAATATATTAAAAGCTCTGAAGTCCTTGGTGATGTCTTCCTGAAATATGACTCTTCTCACATAAGCACTTCAGAAACTGTCAAATATTTTACATCTTTGTCAAAAGCTGACCTACCTCTTTTGGAAAACCTTTTCTTCCACATGTAAATGTAAAGTTCTAATTTAAATGTCAAGAGACATTAAAAAGCATAGAAATGCCATACACGGATAAGTCCACAGTCTCAATGACAGATGACTGCCAGCTCTGTTAAAGTTAACTTTCATTTGATCCTTTTTCTGATTAATCCCAGCAGTTCTGTGGCTCAGCTACTTAAAAACCTAAAACCTAAGAACTTTGTTTCAGTTTCAAGCACATGTTAAAGTACATGTTTTAAAGACTATTCACTAAATCTAAATTTTTGACTATGAACATTTTCAGCAAAACTTTTCCAGGAGTTATTTTTATTGGCATCCATACAATGTATACTACTAAAATTTTTGGAAACAATGTGGGATCATTTTCAGTTGAAATAGCTCAAACTTGCCAGTAAATGTCCTTAAGAAGGGTACTTCAGATCTCATTTGCTGTTGAAAGATTGCATTTTCTACTTCGTCACTGCCTTTTCTAACCAACATTTGTAAGTATATTCAAACGCAAATAACTGAGCAGAAACCACTTCTCCGAGATACTAATATTTTAGCGGTATGTCTTTTAGATTAGCCTGATTTTTCAACCTAAAATAAAGTACTGTTTGTCACTATTAATTTTAGAAGGAATTGTTTGTACCTTTTCACAAGACAAGGAGTTTTGTGGAATGGCTCTACTCACTCCTCTTCAAAGCAGCCTTACCATTCCCAAAGTACCGCAGCTTAGGCCCCTGGCTTTTTTCCCTCCTCACTCAGCTGGCCTGACATTTAGAAAAGACTGGACCAGAAACATATGGTCATGACATAATAAGCTGCATCAGCTTATGATGAGGCCAGTCACAAAGTTTTCAGTGTTTGAGCATCACTGTGCCTTGGCTGGGGCTCCCACAGTCCAGCCCATTCCCATGCCTGAGGGCAGGACAGTTGCACTGTCACATTACACAATCCACTTCTTATGGGAAAACCCAAATGTTCCTTGTGTAGTGTAGAAAAAGAGAGACTCTCTTATCAAGTAGTAAGCATGTCACGGCAATGTCTTGATTTGCTAAGTATGTGTATGTAGCTATTAGTGAGTCTTCTTCAGGTAGATTAATTTTTAACATGGGATATTCTGTTTCTGACAACCTCCACAAAGGCTGGAATTGATTCTTCCAAAGTGGCTGGAAAGCAGCCCAGTGGGAGTGCTGGTCGACAGCTGACTGAACATGATCCAGTGTGTGGCCAAGTGGCCAAGAAGGCAAATGGCATCCTGGCCTGTATGAGGAATAGTGGCCATCAGGACCAGGCCGGTGATTGTCCCCTTGTACTCAGCACTGGTGAGGCCACATCTCGAATTCTGTGTTTAGTTCTTTGCTCCACACTTTAAAAAGGACGTGGAGCTGCTAGAGCATGTCCAGAGAAGGGCAACAAGGCTCATGAAAGGATCAGAGAACACGTCTTACACGGAGAGGCTGAGGGAGCTGGGGCTGCTTAGCCTGGAGAAAAGGTGGCTCAGGGGGGACCTGATGGCTCCCTAAACCCACCCGAAAGGAGGCTGCAGTGAGGTGGGGCTGGTCTCTCCTGCTGTGCCTGCAGTGAGAGGACCAGAGGGAATGGCCTTAAGCTGAGACAGGGGACATTTAGATTAGACAGCAGAAAAAAATTGTCACTGTTAGGGTGGTCAGGCACTGGAACAGTTTGCCCACGGAGGTGGTGGAGTCACCATTCCTGGAGGGGTTTAAGATGTGTCTGGATCTGGCACTGGGTGCTGGGTGAACAGTTGGGCTGGACCTGATGATTGTAAAGGTCTCATCCAACCTTCATGATTCTATGAGTCTGTGATTCTAAAGGCTAGAAATCAATACTATCTCCGTTTATTACCTGTGAGTTATGGTTAGTGCAACCAAAATTAAGATGTACAGCACTGCTCTGGCACATTGTATATGTAAGTACAATGCAAAGAATAGAGAGATTTGCATATATAATAACAATGTGTATGGAGATTATACTCACAGGACAGCTTTAGATAAAGTACAGAGCTACAATGATTGCCATGGACCAAAACCTCAAATATATTCAAAAAGGACCACAAAAATCAGGCAGTATGGGTTCATTGCTAGTTACTGAACAAGGAGGTCTGTGTTTTTGTTTCAGGAAGTTTTCTACTACTGCTTGCCAGAGCTGAAAGGATGCATACTAGGTGAAGGACAACTCTGTACTTAGCCCAAACTTATGTTTCTCTCTGAGATCTTTTGCTGGCTGCTCTTAGAAACAGGATACTGGTCTAGACAGACTGCGGTGTGACATAGTGGCTTTCTTGAAGTTCTTTCTTCGTATCTTGAGAAATGTTACTGTAAACGTCTACAACTTTTCCTTTGGTTTCATCTGTCTCCTATTTTTTTCCTAATGCAGTGTTCATTAAGTGTTTAATTTTACTACAGCCACATGAAGCAAAGGTTTCTTTTAATGCAATACCAATTCAGAGCATGCCTGCTGCTGCTTACTTGCTCATTGAAAGATGAAATCTTCCTGTCATGATTTTAAATCTCCTACCCACAGCTACTCACCCCAGATGATCTACAGCAGAAACAACCCAGGCAACTGATCTGGCTTAAATGTCCCCAAAAAAACCTGACATTTCCATCTATTTTCCTGTATCAGCTTTGCTGTAAGAAGTGACACCCAGTGAGGTGCTTGACTGAAATTATCCAGACTCCAAAGTGCGTGATGACTTGACCCGCATCCTCCCGCTGCCAGATTTTGGTATTAAAAGTTCACAGCAAATTGCTTAAACTCTCCTTGACTGCATTTTACACATTAGCAACTCGATGAGCAGTTTTACCTGATACAAGCTGGCAAGGTGGTGTTTAGTTTTAATCAGAAAGGGTTGGTTGACTCCTGGGTGATCCACATCATGAGCTGCAGCAGCGAGCAGTCCGAGCATGATGTCCGATGGGGTGAGGAAACTGGCAAGCTGAATCATCACATACATTAATCACAACAAGAATATGAACAGTAAACACGTTTTTCTTTTGGGTAAATAAACAAACCAGCTGACATCATAGCATTGCTTGAGTTTGTAGGCATTTGTACACAAAAGTCAAGTATAAATTCTGTGAACAACATTTTTAAGGTAAATGTTGAACTTAGATCTATAAAGATATTAGACTACAGAATCATCTTTTATTACAGTTTGTAATCTTTTATCTCTTTATCATTCAGGGCAATATAAGGATTGTTGTAATAGAAGTGCTTGTGCATAATCTCAAACATTTACTTTAAAAAGCAAACAGGCAGGGTGGCAGGTTGGCATATCTTAGCATCCTTCCAGTAAGAGCTCTGCCTCTCCGAGTATTTAGTAATACCAATAAAAGATCAGCCTTCAATTTTCTAGCATAACACTGTGTTATAAAATGCAGAGTTTATCAACTTCTGAAATTTCAGCTTTGGCTGTTAAATACTTATCCCAGTTCAAGTACATGTATTTCATCAGAGAACACAATTTACCCTTCTAACTTCAAACATTCAAGTTGGAAAACCTGTCCAGATTTTTTTTTCTGCTACAGGGCTCATTTAGAAGCAAAAAAAGGTACTCTTAGACTTTTCTGTTTGTGAAAGTGAGGCAGTTATCACCAGCCCAATGAGTCTGTACAGAGTACAGGTCTATGAGATGAAAGAAGCATCCTGAGGTGAGAACTGATGAGCAGCATGTTCCAGGTTCTGGATGTTGGCTGTCCTCTGTACTTCCTGGTAAGAAAAGGCTTGCAGATCTTGCAGGACATGAAAATATAGGAAAGGTGGGGCCTGCTCCTGTCCTCACCTACCATTGCTATATTCTGGTAGAACAAACTGCTAGTTCTAGCAGAACATCCTTTCATCTAAGCCAAGCCAAAAAAGATTAGTTATGTTCTTATACTGTGGCTCAGCACAACAATATCATAATGCCTTCCAGTAACACACAAGGCAACACCACCCTGATGCTGTGAGGACTTGCAGCAGCAGTCAAATACTTGTGCAGAGCACACCCTTGCAACAGACCCATCTGAAGGGACTGTTTTCCCCTTTCCTGGTGTGGCACCGCACCTAATTTGGTATTTTGAAATAGTGATGTGGGGAGCTTATGCTCTGAGGTGGCTGAGGCACAGACATGCATTGCCTCCTGCTGAGTGATGGGAGAAGGACTGCAGGCACCAGTGGGTGGCTGGGTCACACTGCGTGGTGGCTGGAGCTCATATGGCAGCACTTAGCCACGATGCTTGTGTGATAAGAAGTGACTCTCACGGCTTGACTGACACATCTGTAATCTGTAGCTGAGGCTGCTCCTGACTTGTTGCTGAATTCCAGCATGCCATCACTTTCTGCTGTCTAGAAGTATCTCTTGGGGGTTTTATTTCAATCCTTAAAAAAAAAACCAATCTCAGAACCATCTGAAAGGTTGTCCTTACCTTGGGCTCCCTCAGATAGCAGTGCATAGCTTGCGTGACATCAGCGGCATGGACAGCATTGTGGTATGGGTTCTGGCTATGGTAATCTTCTTGAACCATAACTGGGAATCAAAACAGAAAACAAAGATCCTTTTGTCTCTGAATGCCAAGGCCACAAATGGGAACTGGACTTAAAATACAATCTGAGGTTTTGCAGTCAGCTGCCTAAGGAGTTTCTTCAAATAGCTGTAGCTTATTTAAATTGCTGTTTTTATCGGGATACCTTTAGAGAAAAAATGCATGAAAGGATTTGTGAGGCCCAAGGGGATATACTGGGTCTAGTGCATAAATCACCTCTTTCTTGCCTTAGTGAAGGATCTCATTGAGGAGTAAAATAAACAAGGAAGAGAGGCAAATTTATCCACAACAGAGTGTAATTATTTAGGCTGCTGTCGTAGGGTAATAGTGTGCCATTAAGGCAGTACCACCTATTTTACAGCAGCAGGAGTCAGACCCTGATATCCTGCCATCATTTATTATTTGAGTGATGAACTACAGCCAAAGGCATTCCTACACCCCCCCAGGTGAATAATCAAGAAAACCTCAGCAAAATCTCCTGTGACAATTTTAATCACATCTGTGTGTTCATTTTAAAATGCCAGTCCCTCTTGCTTTAGTTTGCAGTGCTGGAACCAGTCCAGTTGGACCAGGAGCACCAACCTCTTAACTCTCAGCCTTCTCTCAGGTGCAGAAAAATCATTGAGATGTGTGCTTCACACCCCTCTGTTCCTTGCAGCAGTATGTGCACCATTATGTGGTCTTGGGACACCACCACATGAGTGCTGGAAGCTGCATGTGATCCTGCCTAAAGCGCTCTCCTAGACACGATCAAATTAATCAAATGGAGAGCTAACAGGCAGATTTCCCATGGCGCTCCCTGCCAGCATGAGGAGCGCCAAAGAAAGTCCAAGCCTTCTGTTTGTTTCCAGCTGCACAAGCATCTGGAGGTACAGTGGGTAATCCCTTAAACTGTGAGTACCACTAGCTCTAATTACCCGACTGTCCACTTCATGCCTGCCCACAGGAGTTAGAAACAGCGGGGAGATTTTGTCTGTCTCCGCACCAGAACAACGCTTTCCAGAAGCGACAGCTAGGCAGTCTTAAAGGAGAGACCCTTCTTTGGAAACTCTGCCTGACAGCCTGAAAAACTGGCATTTAGCTGCTTTCAAAATGTGATGCAAAAGATAATTGATTTTGGCCAATTTCTTCTTTTGGTTCACTGACAGCATGGGGCCAATATTTCTGTTGGCAGCAACAGCAGCAGGGGCTTTCATCAACACTATTCAGTGTGGACAGCTTGATATAATTTGTTAAATCTTGCACATAAGCTTTTAACTGCCCTGGGTCTCAGTGGTCTTTCAGTCACTAAAATAATTACACTGCACCACAATTGTACTGTGCATGCATAGGTCCTGCAGTGTCTGTCTGTCTGTGTGGGCCTAAGCCAGCCACATCTCTGCATGGCGTATTCATTATAAATCACCAGTGTGACTGTACTGCTGGGATGCTTCAGCCCAATGCAGAGCCTTTTGAAATCCCTCCCCTGACTAGGTACTGAACCAAGTACTTGAATGCCTGCAAACTGTATGATGATATATATCACAGACATCTTTTACTGAAATACTTCCAACGACATCATCCTTTTTTACATAGACAGACAAAACCACTGCCTTTTCAGATGCTCTACTTAAGCTATAAACTTAATGCAAACATGGCTTTGAGGTGTGCACTTACCAAAAAACCTGTGTAATGTAACCATGTCTAACTGGAAATGGTGAATAAGTCCATGCACATTGAAGAGGTGACAAAGCAGTGTTACGAGACTATTTCCTAAAAGCAGAAAGAAACAACTCTTAGATTCCCTTTACACGTAGTTACAAATCAAGCAAGGCTAAAAATTTGGGTAATTTCCTATTAGTCAGCTCCAATCACCTCATCTCCAATGAAGAGAGCTTAGATGACACTCATATACCCAGAAATCACTTACATGAATTATTCCTATACATTATCAAGACTTGATGTACCAATGGAGTGGCATTCTTGTGTCTAGATGCCATAAAGTCACATTTGCTGTTTCAACATGACAGGCAAACTGTGGTTTTAACTGGAAGAAGGTAAATTGACATGGTTTTAACAAAATCTTTTGACAGGTTTGTCTGAGAGCAACATCGTCTTTGTAATTCAGGTCTATCTTCAGAAACAGCAGAAACAAGAGTGGCTTTTCTGCCACTTTGGTTTGCCACACTGTACTAATTAATTAATTACTAAAAATCAGGAGTTTGGAATTAATTTTTTTAATTTTGCATATGGCTGTATAGACATATAATTAACGCATCTAACCTAGCTCGGCTACAACTGCATCTCTTAACAATGACACAGACAGGAAAAATGAGTTGCAGCATTTACAGTCTCAAGTCCCACTGTAATGTTGCACTGGCCTTACTGTAAATCCAATACTGGGAACACTGGCAAAATTGAGCCTTACTCGTATTACATGATCAGCTATACATAAACACAGTATTTTAAAAAGTTGGCACTGCTTAATTCAGCGGCACTATTTCCATAAAAGTTAGAAAAAAAAAACCCAAACCAACCAACCAACCCATACTGCACATAAACAAAGTTTGAAGGGAGTCTTTTCTTATTTAATGTAACTCAGGAAGGAAAATAAATATTTGTATGAAGAACACATGGAAACTTACTTGGTCGTGACTACTGAGCGGAGGCACTGAACGATAATTTAGAACTATGCTTTTGCTTCCCAGGCAATTTGCAATCCTTTTCACTCTTCACTGCCAGTCACTCAGCTGAATGACCCTCTAAACCAACTTTTTTCTACATCTTTTGCCCCAGTCAAACCTAATTGGGCTGGGGGTGAGGAATGAGGGATCTTAGTTCCCTGAGCAGCACGGAAAGGGGGAAGGTGTGATCCTTACACTCTTCAGCAGTTACCTGATCAAGAAGTATGCCTGGACATTTGTGGGGAAGGGGGATGGCTTTACAGGCACATATTTAGAGAAAACATTTCATGGATTTTTACTCTCTTAATAAATTTCCTAATTTTTTGCTGCTAAACAGAAGCAGAGGTATCTTCACTCAAATGTCTTTAGTATTGATAGAAATTGACTGATTATGGAGATATGGGTTTATTGACCAATGTATCTAACAGGTATATTTAAAGCAGCTTGAGAGTTTCACAGGTAAATGAAACAGAAACACCTTCTTGAAAAGGTGACAACAACAAATATAGGAGATTAGATTAATACAAAAGCTCACTTTAAACATACTCTATAGCTCAGGAAAAGTCTGAAAAAGCTCCAGGATGTGTTTTTAACAGAGGTTAACGTGCCCAATTTCTCTTCAGTAATCTGAACTGGAAACATTTAGCAAAAAATTAATTAGGGATTTTTGAAGAGTCATATATGAGAGATAGTAAAATAAAGACTTAAAAATTTACTTACCATTTGTCAAGCGATCAAACAAGAAAATGTCAAAATCCCACATTCCCACTTTGGATAGCATGTGCTGGAAAAAACCAAATGTGAAAAGGCCAGTGACTGGTATGTCACACCACATAGCAGATTTTTATTATTATTCCACATCAATCAGTCACAGGATTGGTTACTGCAGCTTTAATGTTTTTTTCAAGAAACCTTTAGAGGCTGTATTTGAAATATCAGAAATCAGGCTCATGTAGCTCTACTGCATAAAATATCACTTGCACTTTTAACTGGGAAGGTTTAGAACATAACACTAAAAATACCTTCTAAATGGAACTCAAAACAAGGAATAATATAAAACAAATTATTAAAATATTCCCTTTTACTCCACAAATGTTTCATTGTTTCTTCATGTCCCCAAATTGTCAGCGTAAATTCTCTTAGGTTTTTAATACAGTGTTTTAAAATCTTAGCTCTCATGGTGAGTAGCGGTACACAAAGCGGTACACAAGAATAGCTTTCATAAACTACTGTTTGTAACTCCTGTGCTACTATTAAACCCAGTCAGACATGCAGAAGAATCCATCATTACCAGCAAATGTGGTAGTGTTTTCACAGCTACATCAGCTGAGTCAGGAGACTGATGCTGGACTACCTCTATGACCTACAGTGATGTATGTGTGAATGAAATACACATTCACATTCCCATCTCTAGTCAACATTCAAACAGTTCTGGATTCTTAATTAATTTCTAACCCCTGGCATATAATCTCCTCTAGCAGAGAATAAAAACTGCCAGGGCATATAATCCCAATGCCATAAATTCTGCAAATTTTGCTAGAAAATACCAAAGTAAGTGTAAGAGCTGGAAAATAAGATAATTATATTTTGATCACTGTGAAGTCTGCAGTCAATGTTCCATGTTTCCTAGCCTCTGCCACTATGGAGAGCTATTGTGGGTTGCCTAATAGCTGTTCCATATCAGATGAGACACACCTGTCTTTTTTCAAGTGGATGAACTAAATGCTGTGTGTCAAGGCTGCACTTAAATCAGCCACTTAACCTGAAGCCCTTAATTCTTTAATAAATCCATATAATAATTTCAGTTGGAATCTGAAAATGGTGAACAGATTTAGCAACATTTTCTGTTGCTTTGAGACCTAAGCCTTCAAGGCTGTAACCACAAATGAGGAATGGACAATCTGTTTGTTGTGAGGTAGGCATGTAACGTGGGTCATTTAAGAAAGATCATCCATGAATTTATCTGAAGACTAAAACAGAACTGACACTCTCTGTAGTATTATTAGAAGAAATGGAGATCTGGAGACCTGTCTTACCCTTGCTTGCCCAAGGTAGTCCTCATCCAGTAGGTACAGAGAGGCTTGCGGTACAACTCCACGCAGTAACCGGGATGCATGGAAATATCTCTGGAAACTTAACAGTCTTTTCACTTTTTTCTTGGTGCCAATTTCCCCTGAGAGTGGAGAATCTGTGAAAATCAATCAGTACAGAAACCACAAAACCTGAGATGATGGATGCCATTATCGGTTTAATAACAGAAATATCAAACACTTTAAAATAGTAATACAAAAACCATGAAGTTCATGCTTCTTGCCAAGCCACATGAAGGAGCAGTATTCAAACCACTTCAGCATAATATATCTGTTTATTTTAGAAAGGAAATATGTTCCAGGAAAGAGAATACTATTGTAGATTTTGGAAGATCTGAGTTCAGTGCACTGCCTGCTGCAGCCTTCAGTGTGACACAGCTCAGTCACTGGGGGGAAGGGGGTGATAGATCACCTAATTGTAGGTATTAGAGGGATCCTAAATGACTAGGCAGAGTTAGGTACAGGAAAACTGCTCTTACCCTCTCTGCCACTGTTCCCTAACTATACACCTGAAAATAACACTACCTTGGCTCCCTCACAGGAGTGTCATTGGAATATATTAAAATTGCACAGCACTAGAAGTACAAGGTGATCTTGGGTATAAAATCAGAAAAGTGACACCGAAAGAGAACTCAAAATACAGTTTGAAAACACAAACGTGTGACCCTCTTTTGGAAAATTAAATAGAGCAAGAAATAAGAACAGGTTAATAATCCTATTGCATTGTCTGCCGTCATTTCTACGTGTTAAAGCAAATGATAAATGAAGAAAATATTTTAGCTCTGCAATGAGGAGAGCAGGAATATTCAGATAATACAGGCATTTCTGGTTATACAACTGAATGTTTTTTCCACCCTGCACCAGGATAATTCTAATTCCCTAATGCTGTCGTAGGAGTTTTTTATATAGGACTAAATGTGACACAAAAGCCAAGGCAGTTTTTATACAGTGATTAAATCATTAATTAGAGTAATTAAATTACCTTATTGTTAGTAAGGAAAATATGGAGGCTTTCTAAAACTCATAATGGTTTAGGTAACTTTATCTGAACTTTTAACAGAACCTCACACTCAGTTGTGGTGTTTTCATTTTGCAGTTTGGTTTAAGTTTTGAAAAAAGGGAGGACAGAAACTGGATAGTTGGTTGCAAGTAGCAAGATTCAACATGGTTTTATTAGTAAGACAAACCTTGTATGAAACTGAAGATTAAACAGTCCTTTGAGAGAACAGTAATGATTTCTTGAGATAAGATGCTCCATAGCAATTCACTGGATTTCAGTTTAAACAAGAACTCACAAAAAATATCCACACACTGAAGCTGACTCTCTATTTTCTATTTTTCCATCTCTTTTTATGAAAAAACACCGAATGTCTGTTCTACTGTGAAATTAAAATATCACTTTGTTGTTTCTATGGGTGGTATTATTCTGAGAGGATTTTCAGCGAGGTCGCTAAAGGCTTTTTTGGATCATGGATGATTCAGGATTTGGTTTCTCTAACAGCAGACGTGCAATCACTCTCTGTAGCAAGTTTCTTCCTTATTAAGTAATCCAACAGCTACTGAGCGGCACAAAGTCAGTAACAACATCAAAAAGCGCCATCCTTTCTACTGAGCATCAGTATAACTTCCAACACCAGTAAGCTGGAAGCCTCATGGTTCTCATGTGCAGTCCAAAGACGTCATTGAGTTTTAATAATATAAAAGCACAAGATAACTTCACTGGAACTTGACAAGCCATGTGGTTTCCAGAAGGCAAACAGTAACAACACCACTACTTTACCAGCCTGAAGGTCAGGTTTTCATTTATGATGTGCCAGCACCTGCCTTGATTTCCTCACACATTTTAAAAGCTGGAACAATTTCATGGCCTGTTGAAGGAGTGAATAATGTAGGTGCGAACAGTTACCCAGTGGCAGTGACACGTGGAGAAACCAGCAGACATGTTTTCTTATTTCTTTTCATTTATACAGGGCTGCCATGAAATGGCTGGCATTCAGTTTAATTCCTGGATAACAAAACACTCTTAAAATAAATTCACCTTTTAAACTTGTGTTAGCTGATTCTTGACTTTCCAAGTTTCCTATTTCCATCTTAGCCCACAAACTGTCACTACTTTCAGGTAACAAGTTAAAATTTTGAAGTAAAAAAACTTTGCTTTTTTACATTAAAAATTAGGAGTCGCTCATTTTTATCTAAGTTAATATCTGATTTTTCAGTTAAAGACTGATGACTGAAATCACCACCTACACTCTCTAAAACTGTCTTTAGAACTCACACGTAGAGTTGCTGTGGATGATCTGAAGGTGAAGGTTTGGCCTGAGTCCCAACAAGCAGCTGTACAGTGGATTATGAAGAAGTGGCTATTTTATCCTTTGGATTACCAGATCATTTCAGTAGCATAAATAACACTTGCCAAAGCACAAACACATCAGATGGAAACAATTAACTTCTTATTATGAAACATTTTCTGAATTGAACCATCGAAATTGCTGCCCATTGTATGCCTGTCTTGAGTCTCAATTCAAATTTAGCCATCAGCAGACAGTGCCCCTGAAACCTGACTTGACACTTCAGGTGAGCACTAATATATTATATTATAATATTGTAATAATTATAATAATAATAATAATAATATTATATTCTAATATTATATAAAAAAACCATAATCTGTTGTTCTGTGTTTTCATTCATAAGGGAAGAAGATAATAATACTGATAAGAATTGTAACAGATGTATTTTCAAAACTGGGCTCTTGACAGAACAGTCTGAATCCAGCACTGCAGGCAATCCACATGCAAACTCTGGATATTGACTTAAAAGAGTATCATGCTAAAATCCCATCCTTTGGGTCCTTTCAGTAATAAGTGATCTGCCTTTGAATCACAGGACTTATCAGCTTATTTCTATGACCCATCTCAGATTACTGTGACATCCACAATAATGTACTTTATTATGACAGTGTGTTGCGTAAGATTGGACTAAGACGCTGCCCTTCTCTGCGCACAACACAACCCAAACAAGTATAATCTCCCCAGCATTTTCTCTCTCCTCTTCCAAGATCAGTGTCAAACAAAAAAAGAAAAGCACAACTATATGAAGTTGAGAGAAAAAGGTTAATTAGAACAGAAGAGCAAAAGGTGATGCAGCCAAAAGTGAACACTTAAATTCTGCCCTCAGCTCAGCAGTTGCATCTGAATCTCCCAGAAGCAAAGAGCCATTCCCAGCATATGGGAACACATTTTGAGCTGACACAAAATCAAGAGGCAGTTTTAAGATGGAATTAAGGGTTTATGTGAATGACTTAGAGTAAAATGCTGAACATACTACTTCTTTATTAGCAACTTTAAATTTCAATTTAAATCATAAATAAAAAATTTTGATGACGATACATGATATACATCACACAGCACCTTCAGGTGAAACTGAATTACAAAGTAAATGAATCAAAAGTATTACTGCAGTTATCCCTGAACTTCAGCTGTGGAACTATGTGTACTAAAACATATGCTATAGCATCTGGTTAAAGACCATGATCTGCAAAGCTCACATGGGAAGGATTTAGCAATTATGTGCAATTTTGAAATGAACGTGAAAGACTAGAATGTCTTTTGTTTATACCCATAAAACTTCCCTTGAGAACTGTGTATAACTTTAGTCATTGTGGCAACTTCTGAATGTTTTGCTCACCTAAAAAAACTCAGTCTCTTAAAAGATGCCCATTCTTATGCTACAGAGTTACTACCTTGCACAGGGGTTGCAGAAACCCTCCTTTGTACACTGAACAAAGTTATTGCATGAATCACACAGACAGCTTGTATGAATTACACACATGTTTACAGAAGTGTTCGTACAAGCATTCCTCGCAAAGCTCAACCTCCGCCTTCAAAAGCTCAGGCAGCCTGAGCTCGCAGTGTATCTCCTGTATTTCAGCAGGCAACCAAACTGGCTGCGTTTTTCTTCAGGTAATTTGATAGCCACATCACGCACACACGCACCAGCAGACCATGGATGATGTCTGCATTACTGCACATGGCCCTCAAGAGGTTAATAAGCTGCAGAAATCAATGGCTGCCTTCTTTCTCCCAACACTGCTCCTCCAGTTACACTGATATTCTCGCCTTAAATTGATCTATGGCTCACTACACACCAACCTCTGTTATTTCAGGGAGTTTTCCTGCACTGGAGACTGCTACCAGTTTTCTTTGACATTTCTTTCACGCTGCTGTGCTAGCACGTGCCCACAGGCAGCATGAATATAAAAATTATGGAGGTTATGCTAACAATGGTTGAGTTAACATCCAGAAATGATCACATAAATCAAATTTGGACAAGGATGTACTTAACTCTGCACCAGACATTCATTACATTGTTACTGTTCTTTCAAAGTAAACAAACTGTTATGCATTCAAATAAAGCCTCTGAGTTTTTCTTCACAGAAAGCCTTTTGTTATTTTATTGCACCTCAGTGTACAATAAAAACAGGTCACCCAGCAGCATGAGTGGATAAAGAGGGTTTATTAATTTTCAAAAGTAAACTGATTCAGAAAAGGGAAATGTTTTTTTTTTCCTTTTCTTTCCTAAAGGATGCAGAATAAATCAGGTCCTCAAGCAGCTACCTTTGACTCATACAATTTATAATATCCTTTCCCCTCTTCCAAGAATGCAAAGGCATTTCATATACAGCCACTGTATGCCTGACAAGCCAGGCAGGATTGGTGGGAAAGTGCTGGGATATCTGGAAGATAAGGTGAGAGGGTGAGTCCGGCAATTTAATGTCTGGACAGTCTGCAAACAATGAGGACTCTGGGAAACAATTTGTCTCTGGTCCTGCAATTTTCTGCACTGGTTCCTGGCTTGACAGCTAACGAGCTGAAAACTTCTTTGTGAGCCTCAGAGGTATGTAATTGACTTAAGAGGAATAACTGGCATTTGTCCTTTTTTTTTTTTTTTGCACGTAAAATTATGCCATGCATTTAGATCACCTTTACTGAAGTCTTACTTGGCATATTCATTGCATGCTTGGTTGCTGAATTTTTCTTGCACAGGAGAGCACTGATGACAGAAAAAAACCTGCTATGCCTTCCTAGTATCTTCTTAC